GCAGCAGGATCCACTGAAATCTGATGGCAAACAGCCTGCACTGCGTAGCACACATCTGGTCTCGTATGCGTTGAGACCCATAGGAGCTGACCTGCAATGCTTTGCGCTTGCTTTGTTAAGTCGTGTGCTGACATTCCTCTGTCAAACACACAAGGCGGTTCTTTCAGACAAGGGACTACCGTCTCAGTGTCTACTTCCCACTGCTGAACCATGTCCAGGATGTAACTTCGTTGATGCATATGGAAGACATCACCGCACTTCCGCAGCTCATATCCAGCAAAGGAGACATCTTTGCCTTCTTCCACCACTTCTGGCTCCGAGGTCGTCCACAGACCTCTCAGAGTATTCATCATCACTTCTTGATGACTCTCGGGTGCCACTAGCATCAAGTCGTCGACGTACACCCCTATCAACGCAATCCGAACTTGGCGATCTTCATCAATGACTTCCCAGATATTGGAGTCGGCCGGTAGCTGTTTGCATGTGACACGAGTCCCATCATGCTGCTCGATGGACCCCAAGGTTTTGTTCCGAAACAGCGTCCAACTCCTCGGCGCGACGTCCAATCCATACAGGGCCCTCTTGATTTGCCAGTATGCTTCCTGGCATACGCCCGCAGCCCTCAAGATGCTTGGAACCCTAACGATGATTGTCTCTTCATTGGGTGTTACAATCGGGGCGTTCAGGAAGGCTGTTTTGATATCCGTTGTTGAAATTGTCCACTGACTATGCCCTGCGAAGCGAACTAGCAGCCTGATGGACTCGGCCGAAATACCAGACGCATGAGTATCCAGCTTTGTCCTTGGGCAACCCTGCTGGAAATTTCCACACCCTACAATTCGAGTCTTCTTTCGGCCGCTTCGGGCCTTGACTGAGAAGATTACCTTCCCCGGGAGCACCTCTACCTTCTTGGATGAGTCACCCGTAATTGCCGCAAAGTCCTCGTGACTCAACGGGCTACATGTTCCCGTGGTGTGCACCAGCGATGTGTATTCTTCCACCATTGAAGGCTTCCATGCACACAAGTCCTTTCGAACTTCCTCGGCAGAGATAAGCCGAGTCTGGAGATACTCCTCCTCTATGGCAACGGGTTCGCCATTTCCATGAGCGCCGTTATGCTCACCACCCGATTCCAGGCTTCTCAAGGCACACACTCTATGATTCTTGTTCCTCAACTGAAGTTTATCAATCCCCTCTACTATGGATGTACCGGTTTCCAACATCAGATTCCAGGCTGCATTGGTCATACGATGAGCTTGGGCCTCCAGTTCGCACAGCCTAGATAATAGGGGAGCGGTATCCTGGGACTCCTGTACTGCGCTTGCTCCTTCGACCTCGGTCTGTTCCAGGGCTTGACAGCAGAACCGATACTCTGCTGCCAGCGACAATGCTTCAGCCTCAACATC